CGAGGTCGGAAATTAATTTTTCCGAATTTAATTCCAAGGGCTTTCGCCCGGAATAACCTCGTTCCCAAGCACTACAACTTACCTATATTATCTTCTACTATTTCATTAGTGCCACGCGGTCCACATACTCTCATCAGTACAAAATAGTGCTAATTAAACAATAGAAAACAATGGAATTTGCATGAAATTGTGCTATTTAGTATTACTAAAGTTTCACGGTTATATTGTTTGTACTCTACTACAGCAATAAATAAATTTTGCAGTTTATTTTGATATAATTTGCTTAYATAATTTACTTTCGTTATACCGTAAGTTTGTTCAAGCAAATCTCCAATGAATGATTCCATGGCATTAATGTGTATTTTAAGGATAAGGGATTACACAACACAGAATTATATTGTCTATTGAAATTACMGTTATCTAAACTTCTGACGAATATTAAGCAAAGGAAAATCAAATAAAACTTGTCAAGAAAAACAATTTTGAGTAAAAAAATGTCTCGTCATTGAAATTTTCAAATCTAAGAAAATTTGACATAGTGAGTGATGCTTTTTATGTATAGCTTTCCTTGTATATCTATAATGCATAAAGAAGCTGGAAATAAGATAACGAATTATAGGACAGTAAGCTGATATCAGTGAATATTGTTTTTTGATTGCAGAGKAGGATTCTCAAAATTATTCTCCTGGACGAGTTGAAAGAGGATGACAAAATAAGATTTACCTGATAGTTGATCCGGTTCCAGCCCTGAAACCGTGTCCAAACCGCATACTACGAAGTAGTCAGCAAACCTTTGGTCAGAACTGGAACCAGACATGATATATCATGGAGAAAAGTGGATTTTTGTTGCGTTGAATATCTTTGATTTGGACAAGAAGTCAGCCATCTTGTCCATATTTGACGAGCTGAAGCTTTCCAGACTCACACGGTCATACCAGGGACGCCTTGAGGTTTTAGAGAAAAGGGAGGGGAGGGGTGGGTTGGTTAGTCAAAACGCCATAAAAGGTAACACATAGCATTTGGGAAATAGCCCACTTCCGAGAWGTGCTTCGCTTGTCACTCACAAAGGTTTCATTGTGAGGCTTTGTGCATAATGCKCAGTGATTCGTGACGAGATAAGAGAATAAATTTCAATTTGCAAGTASACTCGTACCKAAACCTTTGTGYGTAACAAGCGAAGCATATCTCGGAAGTGGACTATTCTTCGATTGCACGTTACGTCATCGCGGCCATGTTACTCTCTTGGGAATGCTTGCAATCCATCAATAGCGCACTTCCCAGCTATGCTTCATGCTAAATGCTCAGTCATTCATGACAGGCGGTAAGAATAAATTTAATTTAGCACGTAGCCTCATACTGAAACCTTTGTGCGTAACGAGCGAAGCATATCTCGGAGGTGCGCGTTCCGAAAATTAGACGACGAACTGCTCATTGGTTCCGAAAGCGTTCCATCGTTACATTTTTTACTTGCGGAGACCTGCGAACATGAAACCTCAGTTGACCAGTGAAAATTGTTTTTAAATTAGTAAAAAACAAATCGCAAAAATGTCCAAGTGGTAGATWAACAAAACAATATTTGTGTTTGGTGAGAGGGTTTGGTAAAGTGAAATTAGGAAAACGATGAAAACGTGGTCACRTCTGCCGTGCTTAAAGGCAAAATGTCATTCTAAAGCTCTGTATTATTTCAAAAGTTTACAGAAAAATGTGTCTATGATGCCACATGTCACGTGACTTATTAAGATAACATTATATATCGCCAGTTTTTAACTTGGAGAAAAGCTTGACTTTTTTAAAAATTCAGATCAGTTTTTTTAGTATTTTCCTCAAGATTCCATCGGAATTGGTATTTGTTTTGTTCTTTGGTAATTTTTTAAGATCTCCTTTTATCRAATAAGCATGTTTTTACTGAGATCGGAATAAGCTTTTAAGGCATTAATTTGTCCGCCTTGATCTGTGATCTGTTAAGTTATTACACAGGTAGCCCAAGCTATAGGTTTCTACGATGTCATTTTATAAGAAAATRTATGGCGATCCCTAAAACTAACCTCAATAAAACCGTCACRATGTGAAGTAAAGTAAAGAAATCTTAGCTGACCTTTGAAAAGTAGTACCTCTTTGGCCCTGCGTGGAGGGGAAAAAACGAAAGAACTGGCCTAATCCAAAATTTACCCACACAGGGCCAAAGAGGTACAGTAATACTTAAACCCAGATTCTAAATTGCMAAATAAGCGAAATCTTAACTAAGGGTCCATTGCCTTAGGGTCCGCCRTGGCCGACTGCTACATCATTGCCATATTGCCCTCAACAATATTTCTTTACTGTGGGGGTACCACCAGAGAGGCCATWTTCACAAATGCTGCCATCACCGCCTAATGCATTCTGGGACTACCCTCAACAATATTTGCCATGTTCACCAATGCTGTCTATAATAGCACCACCTACAACGATGGGTAARTTTTATCATAATTGGCTGTGGTTCGACTAGAGTAGTTTACAACGCTGTTACAACGGTGTCAAGGTATTTTTAATGGAACCGGGTAAAATCCATGAGTAGTCGTCGTTTATCAAGACTCTATCAAAGGCATGGTTTATTTGGAGTTATTCTCACCACTAATTAAAGCCAATCAATCACAGCCCATGAAACGTGCAACATTTTAACTCGTGCATGTGGATTTCACCGTTCAGTTGGTGGAACCGCAAAATAAATCTCATCTTTGTTAGCCCGTACAGCGATGTGTAAAAGCTGTGAAGCTCTAGTGGAGGCCACAGGGTTGGTGGAGGGAGGGGAAACTATCGCTTCACATGAACAACAAAAATCGAAGGCTATAATCACATGCTATGACGACGAGGTTACTGTAAGTCAGGCCTCGTTCATACCTATCCGGGTATTTTTGAATCCGCGACTTTTTTGTTACAGATTTTTTAAAAATCGCATCCACACGTAGCGTATTCGTATTATTATCATTACTGATTGTATCTTGAAGGATTATTAAAAATTTAATTATTATTTTAAAAATTATGTTTTTATAATACTTAATAATATTTATAATACTTTTTTTATTTTTTTTTATTTTTATCTATTTGCAGGCCCGCAGCTAATGATGCCAACCTACAACGCTAACAACATTATAGTGAACAACCACAATCATTATTATTAATAGTTGTTTAAAATAAGATTGGGAAAATAAAAGAAAGAAACTAATAGTTTCAAGCAAGTAAACTGAATTTTTGAACGTATTGGGCCCCTGTGGGTGGGGGAGTATTACCGTATAAAATGGGCGGGGATGATAGTCGAAAAAATWAATTYAGGYGTCTGCGGGCGTGGTCTTGGTTGARCTTTAGACCTAAAGAATACCACTTTGATATGCACAAGACAAATCGTTTGAAACAAAACCATTGAGTTTATTGCAACACACACTGTAAGTCAAAAACGCTTTCCTTTCCAAAGAATATTAAAAACATAATCATAAAAAAAAGATAGCTGACGTGCTACAAGCTAACAGCTCAGGGCCGTAGCTAGGGGGAGCACAGGGTGCACGTGCACCCCCCATAAAAGCTTAAGGTCCGCTCATCCATCTCCTTTTTTTCCCCTCTCTTTTGGTTCTGCTTCCTTTTGGCTACCTTTTTTTTTATTGTTGTTTTTGTTGTTGTTGTTTGTTTTGTTTTGGTTCTGCTTTCTTTTGGTTACTTTTTTTTTCTTTTTCGTTCTGCAAATAATTGCCTGTGCACCTCCCTGCAAGATCCCTAGTTACGCCACTGAGTTGGTAATAAAAGCGGTCAATGGTCCGATTTTATTCGATGTGCACCCTCCCTGTAAAAGTTCTGGTTACGGCCCTGCATCTTTTCTTTTTTACCATAAAAAAGGTACTGAATATATATTATTAGTACTGATTATATGGGAGTACCCTCCTCCAAGGGCGAATATGTTTGACTAATGACAGCTCCAATAATACATTGCGTAAATGATAGACTTGCCCCAAGTCGAGCTCTCTTGTCTCCCTAGGATATGTTTATTCGAGCGCAGCAAGCGAGGGAGGACAGCAGACTCGTAAATGATTTTGTTCAATTAGTTTATCAGATTGAAGTGATTTTGGAGTAAGATTATAATTCGGAGTTTTGATACCATATTTGGAATCACAGGTCCAAAAAACTCGAAACCGCTTTTAATTACTGGGTGGTTTGGGGCAGCCCAGTCTAAAATACGTTGCGTTTATCCGTTTTGATGGCTACTGTCTCGTAGAGGCGAAGCCACGATGTCGTCTAGTTGTGTAAGTTCTTATAAATGCATAACACCACAGGAAGCCCAGCGCACGTGACACGTGATAAGAAGGTGAAAAAAGCTCTTTGCTCCAATCACAAACAACATAGCGGTGTCATGCTATATGTCATATGATACCATAGCATTGACTGAAACCCTATATCCATCTATCAGACTGTATGATACACATTGTAGCCCGAATTGATATACTCAAAATAAAGCCATATTTCGCAACCACCAAGGAACAGAAATCATTACATGGTGCCAGAAGTGAAAGGTAAAACATACATCGACANAGTCCTTAAAAATGCATAACACCACAGGAAGCCCAGCGCACGTGACACGTGATAAGAAGGTGAAAAAAGCTCTTTGCTCCAATCACAAACAACATTGCGGTAGCAGGTATTTTGCAGGAATTATTTTAGTAAAAATGGTTCTATTCTCCTACATAGAAAGAAACCATTCTCTAAAAGCGTGTAAACTAGAGCTAACCGTCAATTTGAAGCGTGTGAACTAGTGCCAACCGTCCTTTTGAAGCGTGTGAACTAGTGCTAACCGTCCTTTTGAAGCGTGTGAACTAGTTCTAACCGTCCTTTTGAAGCGTGTGAACTAATGCTAACCGTCCTTTTGAAGCGTGTGAACTAGTTCTAACCGTAATTTTGAAGCGTGTGAACTATTCTCACTGAGAAAATAACCACGATTTTGCTCCCGCGTTCAATAAATAACGTTCAGCATGATGGTTATTGCACGAGGTGCGTGCAATTCCATCCCTCGGGGCATTGGGAAGGTTCTTAAACCAACACCGAGCCTGTTTCGCCGTCTTTTCGCAAATCTGGTTTGGGAAGCAAACTCTTGCTGCGACCYTCCCTCCTCCCCTTCGGCGACGTTCACTACTTCACATACCCTTCACCACTCAATGTCTCCGGAATCGCGTTTCCCATATCTTAATTCCCTATCCGACAATGAGTGGTCAGCCTCTCAGTGAAAATGTCTTACTAATGCTAGCCGTCCTTCTGAAGAGTGTGAACTAGTTCTAACCGTCCTTTGGAAGCGTGTGAACTAGTTCTAACAGTCCTTTCAAAGCGTGTTATCTAATGCTAACCATCCTTTTGAAGCGTGATAACTAGTGCTAACCGTCCTTTTGAAGCGTGTGAACTAGTCCTAACCGTCCTTCTGAAGCGTATGAACCAGTTTTAACCGTCCTTTTGAAGCGTGTGAACTAGTCCTAACCGTCCTTCTGAAGCGTATGAACCAGTTTTAACCGTCCTTTTGAAGCGTGTGAACTAGTGCTAACCGTCCTTTTGAAAAGTATGAACTAGTTCCAACCTTCTTTTTGAAGCGTGTGAACTAATGCTAACGGTCCTTTTGAAGCGTGTAAACTAATGCTAACCGTCCTTCTGAAGCGTGTGAACTAGTTCTAACCATCCTTTTGAAGCGTGTGAACTAGTCCTAACCGTCCTTTCAAAGCGTGTGAACTAGTGCTAGCCGTCCTTTTGAAGCGTGTGAACTAGTCCTAACCGTCCTTTTGAAGCGTGTGAACTA